TGCTTCTTGATGAAAAGCATGTAATGCTGCTCTTGTAACACACTGTGATAAACGTTAACACAGTGTTACCAGGAACTCTGTTTAATAACTCAGCCATGAGACAGACATAGATGGCAGGCCAGGAAACTGGGGTACACGCCTTGCTTTATTAGTGTATTGGGAAGGCCACTGACAACCTTCATCTTTGAAACTCTGTGGGATGTAAGAAGTGACACTGAAGTGTGAAGAGTGCCCCTAGAAAAATGATTGCACAAAATGAATGAATTCGCTGTTAACATCCAACTGGAATCAGCCATTAGATGCTCAGAGTCTCATTTAATGCCTTGCTTGTTAGAAATGTGGTAGGTACATCTTACCTTTCCTCTCTCTCCAGCCTTCCCTTCCTCACAAAATAAAGTGGTGTGCTAATCTTCTTGAACACGAGGTGGCAGGATTGAGCTCCATTTTAAAGGCAACGAACATAAATCGCTGCTTGAAAAAGGTAAGGGGAAATCGCATTCATCACTCAGCAATGCAAAATGAGTGACGATTAAGAAGGTAGATAAAACTCTAAACAAGTGGAACACTGCACATAACAAAAGCTGGGCTAGGACACTTAGAGCATACCTTGAGACAGGTGGTAATTCTGAAAAGAGCTGCGTGGAAGCGACTTTTGTTATTGAGGGAAAGGATGTGGGAGACTGAGAAAGAAGAAAAAGTCCACCTCAGCATAGTTACTAACGTAGCAGACGTTGGAGATTTAAGTTTATATGTGTGCTGTGAGTCATAGTGCAGCTGTGTCCCTCTGATCATGGTTCAGTATGAATGCATGAAAATCTTAATGTGGGAAGTTGCAACGGAATCAGCATATAAGTCTGGTAAGCAAAAAGCTACTGATAAAATCTAGAATTCCTAGAATTAGTCTATGCTTCCCCTCCTCTAACTGCTCAGAATTTCCAGGCAGTAAGAAAAATGCAGGAAGGATGCAAAGCCTCTGTTGCAGCTTTGGTGCTGACATGTAAGGCTGGTCCTTTTGAGTGCATGCTTTTGAATAAGGATAGGACACCCTAGCACAAGCCTTCATCATGCTCTCACCTTTCCCTAGCCTCCATAGCATAGTTCCTTATACCCCCAGCTGAATAACAACACACTTGCAGAGATTCTTTGAATTCTCAGACCTTGTCTTTTTTGCTCCAATCCATCATGCTGCACCTTTCCACATACTTACTGTAATTTCTATTCTATGACACACAAAGATGCTTTATGTATGATATATAACTTCAAGTTTCAAGTAATTTCAAGAAAACACTTTGATTATTCAGCATATTCATAACACGTTCTCATAACTTCATTTGCACTAGTAAAAAATGGACAAAGAAATGCTTACTGCAAGGGAAAAGTACACCTGCAAGGTTGTTAATTTGTTTTAAACTAAGTGACAAATTTGACTCTGACTCACCTGATGTGGGGAGGTGCTCACCTCCTGCCCCTCAACAGACTTGGTGCTTGAGATCCTTGCATTCTTTGAGGTGACCCATTTGTCGTACTAGCAATACAGAAGTTTTTGTAATGTCTGACACAAATCTTCTTGGCTGTAAATCAAGTCCACTATTCCTTGTCCTATCCAGCAGACAAGGGAAAAATTTTTCACCTATCCCCTGCAGAACACTTTGCGTATTTCAGGAGTGTTATGGCACCTCCCTTCAAACTCCTGAGCACCGAACAAAACTGCTCTTTCAATCCTAACGCAGACTTTGTATTTTCTAGGCCTCTGATCACACTCTGTTGCTGTGTCACATTTTTAGGGCTTTGCTCTAGTTTTACCACCTTTGGAATGATGTGCGCTCTCATGGCACTCCCAGAAAGCTCCTTCTCTCTGGTGGTTTGGTTGTGGTTGTCCTTTAGGTAATAGCTCATAGGCAGTAGTTGAACAAAGCCTTATTCTGTGAGAAAAAGCATAGAAGAATAGTGCTATTTTTATAGACAAATGCATTCATGTAGAAACAGTAATATTTTATCATATGTTCTTTGTGCCACTTGTAACACTGAATCTAATGGACTCCAGGCTCACAGCCATGCCTGTGGAGGAGTATCCCTTTCCCCTGCTCTGCAGGACAGCTGTGTGGTTCCAGGTGGAACACTCCCTTCATTTCAGACATGCTGTGGGTGTCTTTTCTTATCTTCCTCCACCCCAGCAATCTATGTCATTAAGCCCTACATGTAGAGATGGTGGTGCTGTGAGCCCCAACCCTTCTACAAAAAGACTGCCATGTGCCCCAGCAATGCTTTTATGGAAAATCCAAGCCATCATCTATAACAGGTGCTAATGCTGCTTTCAGATGCATGCTCCAGAGTCATTTAATATGGACTCACAGCTCATCAAGTTCCAGATCTTATCTGTAGAGCTTCATTCTTCCAACACCATTGATCCATTGGATTACTGGATCCAAATGTGTGGCTCCACATAAAATTTTGACAGTTCTCAATTTTCTGAAAACCCAGAAAACAATCTTATGCCCATGAAATAGTAAAGTCCAGTATGAGCCCACACAAAATCAGGAAAATTGAAGCTTGTTGTCATGAAGTCATTAGGGATATTACCATGAGCATTTATTGCCTTTAAGATCTGATCCTGTGTTCACCGAGAAGAAATCAGGCATAGACCTGGAAGCAGATTTCTCCACAGAACAGTATTTCACATTCTGCAGTGGTTTCCAAAATTTGGAAGCTTAACTGCATTAGAGACATTTTCCCAGCTTTTTTTGTAAATAGCATCATATTGCCATTTGTGCTATTAATCTTCCAGTCTCTCTTCTCCTCTTTAAACACTTTCATCCAAATACTTTAAAAATCCCAACAAATACTGCATCTAGAACATTGTCCTATGATTTTTTTTTTATCTTACTTGCTATATTTCTACGAACATTTCCATTTAGAAAAAAATATCCTAATTTAAAACAATTAATGCCCCCTCCTCCCATTTTTTTTCCAGAGTTGTGTTACCTACAGACAAAATATCTTGTGCTTGAATAATATTTTTATGATTTTTTCGCACTGCTGCACTATGCTGCATTATGTGGGTTTAGGACATTCTTATTGCTTGGGACTCTCTGAACCCCTCTTGTGTTTTATTTAGAAATGACAGACTGCTGGACCTGACAGGAATGATTTGTATTCTGAGTAGAAGACCTGTACACATGTAACCATTTTATTCAGATTTCTAATAGATTTGACGTAAATATGGTAACCTGATTGACACTATTTTAATTTACATATCTTTTTCCAGTCTTTACTCATTGCCCTATACAGAAGCATGAATCAGAGTTCCGGCGAGGTATGTCTGCAGCTGTGTTAGCAGGATGTTCTTTGAAAGCAGAACAGCCCTGATGGTGACTGTGTCAGGCCTATGAATGTACCCAGCAAGAACTGTATTTTTCCGTAGCCTGAGAAATGCAAATAGAACAGAGTGTTCAGTCAATTAATATGTGACATGTCAAATTGATTCCCGAGCACTTCCTAAACAGCACAGTGACAACTTGTTCTGTATCATCGTAGTGAAAATTCTGTGACCATTCTTTCTTTAACTCAGAGGTGGAACCCTGATCTACTCATTTCAAAATACACAGCCCTAGCAATTCAGTAAGAAAGGGCCATCACCATCTTTGAATATAATGGCATGTAGGCAAGCAAGCAGTCTGCCAACCAGTGAGGCAGTGACTGCCCGGCATTTATCAGGACACGGGGAACAGTGACTCGGAAACGACAGAACAGCAACACTGCGATCCCCAGTTTCCCCGACCGCTCGCTCGTTGAATCTGCAAACACATGACACGCGTGTAGATCAAATGTGTACCCAGTGATAACCCCCAGCTCTAGGAGCCACCATAGCCGGGCGCCGCACGGGCCGGGAGGGAGCGGGTGTAAACGACGGCCGGCGCCGATTGTCGCTGGTGCCGCGGAGCTCCGCGGGGCGGCGGCCGCGGGCGCGGTGTATGGCGGCGGCGGGACGCGCGGTGGCGCCTGCGGTGCGCGCAGCTCCGGCCACTGCGGCGGGATCCGGGCGCAAAAATCGCTGCGGAAAATCCGCACCCTGAGAGGGGAGGGGGGGGAGAGGAACATGGGGACGTTTGTGGGGGAGAACGAGAACCAGACTGCTGAGCTGCAGAGGGATGAACAGGGCGTTCCGGGGAAAGAGAAAGGCCGCTCATCTGCCGCCTCCCAGGGCTCTTAAGGCATCCTCATTTAGCGCCCCGAAGCCAGGGGTGCCGTCGCCCCCGCCCCGGCAGCTGCCCGCTGCCTCCCGGCAAAGTGTTCCCACTCCGCTCCAGCGTCCGCACCTGCGGCGGGGCGGTCCCACATCTCCCAGGGGTGCGTGAGTGTGCATGAGTATGTGTGTGAGCGAGTGTGGCTGTACACGCGAGTGAGCGAAGGCTTCGGATCAGACTGCCTATTGGTATCTCTCTCTTCGGCACCCTCCCTCCTATCCTCCTCCCTCCTCCCTCCCTAGTTGCTTTTGTTCCTTTTTTTTTTTTTTTTTTTTTTTTTTTTTTTTTTTTTTTATTTCAGATTTCAGGCTCATTTTGTGGAGTTTCTGCCCCTCTCTGCGTCAGCTCCACGTCACTTTGCCGGCAGCTCCCCGGCTTGGGCTGGGAGCAGGAGCTAGGGCTGCTTTATTATCAGCTGGAGGGAGGAGGAGACGGTGCGTGAAGCGGCGAGCTCGGAACCCCGAGCCTCGCCGCCGCCGAGGGCTGCGCCCTCCCTCCCCGCCCGCGGGCAGCGATACCCGAGCCCCCGCAGGTAGGAGCGCAGCCTCCGCCACCTGCCCCGACCGCTCCACTCGGAGCGTTTTGCAGCATCATCGGGAGCCGCCGCGGGGGCAGGCGGCGCCGCTGCCCGCCCGCGGGGCCGGGGCAGGTGTCACGCCGAGTCCCGCTCGCTCGAGTCCCGCCGCTCCGCAGCCCCGGGCAGGCACCGCGGCGGGGCGGCTGCGGCTGCGGCGCGGCGCGCCCATGTGAGCCCCGGCCACGGAGTGCTGGCCCGCGGCGCAGAAGGCTGCGCACCCTCCCTCCGGGCGTGTGCCCCGACAGCGGCGGCGGCGGCAGCAGCGGGAGGAGGCAGTGGGGCAGCGCTGGAGTAAGCGGGAGGCATGGTGTCCTGGCGGCGGAGGCCGGGTCCCGGCCTTGCGCGGCTGTGGGGCTTGTGCTGCCTGGTGCTGGGCTGCTGGCGGGGCGCGCTAGGCTGCCCCGCGTCCTGTCGCTGCAGTTCCTGGCGGATCTGGTGCTCGGAGCCAGTGCCGGGCATCGCCTCCTTCCCCGTGCCGCAGCGGAGCGCCGAGGATGACAATGTCACCGAGATGTGAGTACGGGCCGGCCTCGGCTCCAGTCGGGGCGCGGCGGGCGGAGGGCAACTTCCCCGCGCGGAGGTGCACTTGTTCCGCGGGCAGTCGCGGTGGCTGGGAGCCCGAAAGCCCGCTGTGATTTAATTGCACTCGACTTGCCAGCGATTCCCTTGCGAGCCCACTGGGATGATAAATCCCCATTGCCGCGATGCGGTTCCCCGCGAGCGGGACGGGAGGTGGGTGCGGAGTCGCTGCCGGCCGCGGAGCAGCGCGGAGCGGGGTGGGAGCCCGGTGTTGCCTCCAGTCCTGACCGACCCCGGGGCGAGCGCAGCCCCCAGCGCACCTCTGCAACGGACCCGGAGAAGGTCTTAAGTTATTGATTTATTTTACTTTCGCGCCCCCAGTTTAATCCTGTGAGCTTTAGTGGGATTTCACCCTCTTCACTGTCTCTTCACTTGTACCTTATTTCTGTTAGGGGAAAAAAAAATAAAAAAGAAAGGGAAGGGATGCGGCATATTCTGAGAAAGAGCAGCCGCAAACTGTCTCCCCTCCCAGAGCCATAGGAGTGCGAGCCTGCTTTGCCCTTCTCAGTAGGTTGGCCCCTAGCCTGCAGGGGAACGAGCCCGGTGCTTTCTTAGCGAGTGATGGAGGATTAGGAAACCCATTAATAGTGAGCAAAAAGTTTTTTCTGTCTCAACCTGTGTGTGACTTCCATCTCTGCTTGCCAGCAGCTGATTCTGGTAAGGGTAGTTGTATAGCAATTCCTGCTCAATCCTGCATCCTCTGACAGCCTGGCACTGAGGGTCATCTCCATGCCTTAGCTGAGAAAAGGCACAAGGACACTTGCTGAACAAAAATGTTGGACACGGGGGTGCAGATGACAGACCTGGGGGGAAAGACTTCTAAATTTGCTTTTTCCATCTCTTTCTTCCCTGGGCCCTGTTGTTTCCAGATTTTTTCACAAAAATTCACAAACGTTTTTTCACTTGACAATTTTATTGTAAAAGCTTCTGGAATATTTTTCCCTAAATCCGTACAGATTTCTCGCAGTTTCATTTCTACTTCCTTCTCCTCTTTCTCAGATTTCTTTAGAACCAACACAAAAATGACACAAAGTGTCGTGTGACATTAGATTAATTCAATAGCCTTTGGGCTACCTTTCTGCAGATTTTGGTAGTCTGTTTGCTGCATTTCCCAGAGAGTTTAGGGGAAAAAATGGGGGCTTTCATCCCTGCTGTTCCTCTGTAGCCTATCTTTAGTAGATTTTAGGACCTACAATATTTCCAAGTTCTTACAGCAGTTATTGTTTCAGATGTTTGCTTAATATTCAGTGGATTACTTTTTTTAAAAAGATTGCTTCAAACTATGAATCACCGCTCATTTTCATAGGCTTTCCTAGGCTTATTACTTCATAATTCCTATTTGGAGGCAATGCAGCAATTTCCCCCTAGAATTTAAAATCTATTTAAAAGGCCAGGGAAAGAAATGCGTACATAAATTTGTACTCCATCCATGACCAGCTTGAAACATGTCTAGTCATTTTGCACTGGTGCTTCTTGCTTTTATTGTGCCCTGTGTTTTTTTCAGCATTGCTGTCTTTACAGTTCTGCTCAGTTTTTACTGTATCATTCTGTGACATTGCATGTTGTCGTGTTTGGTGATCCAAAAATAATTTTGACTCATGGATTTCTCAGGAGATGCTGTGGCACGTATTTAAGAAGGTCTTTCCCAGAGTACTTTTAACATAGAACGTGAAGGCTCTTCGATGACTTTGTTGACATAAAAGTTGGTCTGCAATGGCCATCATATTATTTTGTGAGAATTTAGTGAACAGTAAATATGTGAGAAAGAGTGGTTCTTATATGGTAGATGCAGATTGTGAAAACATCTTTTTAACACTGCATACCCTGCTTTATTCTAGCTAAGAAACCTGTCTAATAGACTGAAGCATTACATTTTACTTACAAAGCATGAGACCTGATTTTACTTTTTTGTGCTCTGTAGATAAAAGAGCACAATTCTGTTCATCTCCGGTGGAATTACTTTTGGTATGAATAAGAGTGAGAAGAGCATAAGACTATTTCTGGTAATTTGTCCCCATCTATTTCCCATATGCCTGTTGAGACCAATCCTCCTTTTATCCCTTATGGCTTCCTCTCGGCTGGAGTGGATCTGGCAATCTTAGGCAAGGTGTCCACTGACTGCTTAAAGTCCCACACCTAGGCTACGTACTCTGGGGTTTGGCGAGAACCATATGGTTCAGGTGGACACATAACCCTGTGGTGGTGCAGAGCGCTGGCTGCTGAGCTGGAAGGATGCAAGGGGCAGCAGGGTGTCCCCTTGGCCTTGGGAGCTGGGAGAGAGATGGGGTGGTGATGGTAGGAACAGCAGACCCACAGTGCTGTGTGCCCATACTGCCCCGTGCATGGAGCTTCGTCTCTGTAGTGGCCCACAGGCAAACGGCAGGTTAATGCCCAATGAACCCACTCCTACCAGTCCAAGTGTAACTGTATTCCTGCTTGGATCTGCGTCTAAACATACAGAAATCAGCAGAAAGACCTCTAGAGCACTTCTGCATCAGCCATGTGAAGCCCGACTGCTGCAACTCAGTGTAGGAGGGCATAGGAGTATTTCTGCCTTTTCTTAGTCATCTTTCTCACTCTTTCCCTTCCTTGTTGTTTTGCAAGTTTTCTAATTCTGAGGAATAAGAGACAGACTCTGGAAATGCTCTGCCTCTCATAAGGTTTTGGATTTGTTTGTTAGAATGCTGACATGGGCTGGTCTTGATCTGGAAAGCATATGCCAGTGCTAAAACTGCTCATCAAAACGGAGCTCAATCATAATAATTGTTTGGTAGCGCTGATACTACTGGAGATAAATGGTACTCCAAAGTGAAGCCCTACATTAAAACAGTGATATCAGTCACTGAAGCTCATGCTAAGAGCTGAGGAACAAGAGTGGTGAGAGCAAAACAAGTGTATGAGCATTGTTAAATCCAGGCACTACAGCAGATAAGTAGTCCTCACTGAGATCACTGGAGCAAGAATATTAGTTGGTAGTAAATTACTAGCATCAAAAGTGTTCAAGACTTTTTGTGGAAGGATCAGTCTGATACTTTCTCATTAAGAAGTGTTTATTGTTAGTATATGTCAGCAAGTGTGACAGTTCATAGATCTTGATTTCAAAGAAACTCCTTGCGCTGTTAGTGTATTCCTGGCCCAGTTTCTGGTATCAAGTCATTAATACGTTGACTTATGATTATTCAGGTAAACGGAATTTGAAATTAATTGGTGTGTGTCAGGAAGAATTGCTTGCCAGCAAAATAGTAGGTGACTTCTTCATGCTTGCCTAGTAGAAGAGAGAGGTGATTGTGTATTGCGTACGTTTCAAAACCACAAAGTAAATTACTAATGCAGTTATATAAAGCACTCTAGAATTGTTAATAAATAAGACAGGATAAGTAATTTATAGAGTAAATTATTTAACAAGTCACGTGAGCTTGTGCTAAAAAAAAGGCATATTGAAATTCATCTGAAGCTCAGTGCTGTTGGTATTTTGGGTCTCTTTCATTTCAGATTTCTAGACCGTTGTAGATTAAATATAATGTAAAGTTATAAATATAATGTAAATCTAGAAGGTTTCTCAGCTCCTAGCCTTTTCTTCCTCAAAGGAACTGTTGGCTCTGCAGTGTTAGGTGGCTTAGCTGGATTGAAAAGCTCTTTCTAGTGGCTTGGAGTTATACAGTAAAATACAAGGCACTGGGCTACAAATTATTAAAGAGGTTTTGGACACTGGTGATATAATAGCTCATTTTAGGAATTTGTCACTTTTTTCTCATCTTTCTTTAAAGTTTTAGGTGATGGGTTAGGGTAAGTTTAAAGTAAGCATTGTGAAAATCAGTTTTTTAATTTCCAGACTCTAAAAACATTTAAAAGATCATAAATCAAAGGGTTCTGTATGCGCTGGGTATTGTTGCTTTCAGGTCGCCTTCTCTATGGCATGTTTTATTCCTTGTCCTTCCGGTTGGTAAGGAGCGATGGGGCTTCTGGGGGCTGGCAGAGGCTCTCTCCAGCAGGCTGAGGCGAGTTGGATGAGTGCAGCATCCATCAGGAGGTATTCAGCCTTGTGTAGGAGTGGGCTGGCAAAACACTGCCTTTAGTCGCTCGAGTTTTAAGAGATGTTTGAGATTTATACATGAAAATGAAAGCCATTTCTTTGGATTCAAGACTTTACTCTTGAATATGCTGTTTTCAAGAGGCTTGCATTTCCTCCCCTACTAATGGGAAAACAGAGGGCTAGGCAGTCCAGCCTCAGATATAGTTAGGATGGCATTTTTTCTTTTTTTTTTTTTTAATGCTAAGTGAAAGGGGGACAGCAGCATAGCAAGATTCCAGATCTCAAATCATGATAAAGTAAAATTTTTTATACAACTAAACAAGAGTCTTATTTCTGCATTTTGGATTTTGTTGTCAAGTAAGAGGAAAAAAAATCTTTCTGGATTATGCTTCTCTCTCATCCCTGTTTGTCATCTCTCACTGTGGCAGTGTCTAACAACACATTGATGATGGTGGCTAGCAGAATCTCCTTGCCCAAGCTGGATGTGTATAGCAGGTAAAGAAAAGTTACAAACAACGAAAAATGAAGCAGGGAACTCTAAAAATCCTAAAAATCCTCTCAATACTTACTGATGTTAAAAGTATTTTTAGCTTGTCACATCTCAAAAGCCTCTCTTTGAAAGCTGTCTTTTAAAAAGTGGAGCACTGATTGTATTAATTCACATTATTTCAAGTGGAGAAATAAATTTACAGACGTTTGAAAGCCATATGCCTGCACTGCTCTGTTACTGCACACTGTTTGTGTTTGCTAGGATCTTTTTATAGAAATGTATGTAGGCACAGAGGTGCTATTGAAATCATGTATATTGGGTATGCACTTTAATTCAACTTTTGATAGTGAGCCTATATTTTCAGAAACCACATAAAGCAAACGAAGCTTAAACTCCACTGAAATATGTATA